CTTCTCCTGAGGGTCTCCTCCTGCCCCCACCGAGGCGCCCTCACCTGCCAGCTGTCTCCGCAGTAGCAGCGCGGACTGGAGCTCCGTCATTCTCCCCGCCGGTGCCCGGGGAGGGAGGCGGGCTGGGGCGGCGGCGGCGACGGCAGCTCCCGCTCCTTTCCCTCCTCCTCCTCCTCTTCCTCCTCTTCTTCTTCCTCCTCCTCCGGCCTCTATGGCCGGGCTGGAGCCCGCCGGCGACCCCCGCTGTCCCTCCTCCGCCTCACGCCGAGCCCCCCTCCGCCGAGGGCCTCCGCCGCCGCCACAGCAGCGCCTCGAGGGGGGAGGCGCGAGGAGCCCCTCCTGAGGAGACTTCTCTGAGGGGAAAGGCGACGGCCGGCCCTCCCTCGCCCCCCTCCCGAGCCTCTCCCCTCAGGCTTCACCTTCTCCCACCACCTTCTTCTTCTTCTTAATTTATTTTTTTAATTACAATTTGTCTCCTTTTCCTCTTCTTCAAACCCCCCCCTCTTCACGGAATTTCACTGCACTCGGGCGCCGCGGCGCGCAGGCGCACTGAGGGGCTGGCGCAGGCGCAGTGGAAGCCTTGCCTTCTTTCCCCCTCCCCCGCCTCTCTCCTTTTTCACGCCTTCCCTCGCTCTTTCTCAAGGGAAGCCAGGAGGCGGCTCGCCATCTTAGGAAGGTCGGAGCCGGCTGGCCCCTTCGCTGCGCGCGCAGCCTCCGCGGGGCGAGGAAAACGCGGGCAACGCGGGCAGCGCGGGCGGGGGCGGGCTTTAAGTGATTGATTGGCTCCGTCCCGCTCGGGGCCATCTTGGGAAGGGCAAGAATGCTCCTGACTGGACTTTATTCTCAGGTTTAAAAGTTGGTCGAAGAGCAAACGTGGAGGAAGAGGCTGAGGAGGGGTTTGTGGTTTTTTTTATTGTCCTCCTTCCTCTCCCTGATGATATTACCAGATTAGAGAGGCCTGGTTTTTAGTTGCACGTTTATTTCCCTTTGCTTGCAACCCGGGTCCACACGCGTTGTGGGAACGCAGGCGCTCCAAACCGGTTCACGTGTAACAAACATGTATTGTTTTACCACAATACCCATGCATGCCCCTTAAATAACAAAGTAGCGTAAAAGATACAGGACGCTTCAACTGAAGGTATTAAGTTTAATTGAGAGTGTTTATTTAATTGAGAATATTTAATTAATTTAATTCAGTAATTGAGTAAATTTCTTTAATTGAGCGTATTTATTTAATCTATTTAATTGAGAGTATTTATTTCGTCTCATATTAGGCTTTAAATAACAGCTTGAAAACTCTCAGGCGTGAAGTACCAGAACAACACTCAGAATATATTAGAATATGCTGTTGTGACGCTAAAGTTCTGGATTTGCTTTGCATATTATGGTGGTGGGCTGTTTTTTTGTTTGTTTGTTTCTTTTTAATAAAGCATCAAACATTTCCCCCCCTACTCAGTCCTGAAGTCCTTTGGTTAAAAAGTGACATATAAATTAATATCATTACTGTTATTTAGTTAGTTAGTTAGTTAGTTAAAGTATTTACACTCCACCTTTCTCAAGAGGATCCTAGGCGGCTTACGGTATGAAAAACAAATAATATAAAAACTGGAAGCAAAGTGTAAAAAACAAAAACAAATTTAGGGACTTTGACATTGATTTACTGTACTATATTATTATAATAGCATTAACAGCCCAGGGCTTCCCGTTGCTATTTTATTTTTAACCTGAAGAGATCCACACCCTATTTAAATAAAATTTAAATTCTGCCCTGTTGCAAAAAAAGAAAGAAAAGAAAAAAAGAAGTACCTCATTTAACTTTTAACATGTGGAAATTTCCACTTGTGGAATTTCTGCCAGGGAGCAAAATGTCTACACGGTTGAGTTTCTGCCTGGGAGCTGCTTGCTAAAGATAGAAGAGCACTGGTAGGAAGGAAAGTTGGCAACCTCTCCTGCCTGGTAAGCAGAAGGCTTCTGCCCAGACCTGTGGATCAGGTTGTGGTTGCATGGTAATGAGGAAACAAACACGTCTGCTTTTGCACACTCAAAAGGTGCATCTTTCATGCACACCTGGGAGCAGACCTGGTAGTTCCTAGACAGCCCTGCCTGGTCCTTACTTTCTAGAAATCTCCAGAAGAAAATATAGCTTGAGCTTTTATCCCTTTCCTTCAGGAGCCCCCCCCCCCAAGCTGCTTTCATCAAGAATTAAAACCAACACCAAACCATTATTTGATTACTGATGCTGTATATTATTGTTATATTCTAAATTGTTTTGTCTTTATCTGCTGTTAGCTGCCCAGAGTGGTCAATTGACCAGATGGGCGGGATATAAGTAAATAAATAAATAAATAAATAAATAAATAAATAAATAAATAAATAATTTAAAACACTTCCCACTGCTAAAACAATTTGAAAGATCAGATTTCGCTTTGTAAATTCCAGAGTTAGGTCTAGGCTAAGGAAATCGATTACTGTTAATTACACCTTTTTAACTCATATGTGCCTTTACTGTTTGTATGTGTGTGTGTGTGTGAGAGAGAGAGAAAGAGTGTGTGTGTGTATTATATAGTTATATATAGGGATATTTAAATATAATCCTACACTTCCGTAGAGTTGCTATGCACAGTTTTCCCAATCCTGATTTTGTTCTCACAACATCCCTGTGCAGGAAGTTGTGCTTGGAGCGATAGCCATCGAGTCTGAGGCCCCAAAGGGGATTTCATCCTAGGTCAATTTAGGGTGAAATCCAGTGATCAGAAATGCTTTCATGGAGCCCCCTGGGAAATGTTGGACTGCCATGGCAAGGGCCGGTGTAGCTGGCCACGTGGGCTGAAATCCTGTTGGGCAATAATGCAGAAGGTCTAGCTTTTAGTGATGAACCGCCTCAAGTTAAGAAATCTCTGCTGGCATTATAATCTGTTGCTTGCCAAATCACACAACTCAGTACACACGCAGGCAGATGAAAGTATTTGACTCCATGGGCCTAGCTAAAGATCTGACTGGGCGTTGTGGTGCAACGGGTTACCTGGATCCCTAAGACAGTGAGTGCGAGGTTGGGTGAGCTGGTGGAACCTTTCCCTTTGCCGTTCCAACATTTGTTTTTTTTTTTTTCCTGCAGTCCAGGAACCGGCGGTGGGTCCAAGCTATCTAAAAGACCACCTCTCCTTCAGGGAGCCTGCCTGACAACTCCCACCATCCCCCAGCCACTACAGTGGCTGGTGAATTCTAGGACCCATTGTTCTGGAAGTCAATTTTCCAAATTCTGGATGGGTGGGTGCTTGAGGTTGGACCGATGTCACGTGGCTACTTGGGGGCAGAACGTGCTGGGCTTTTGGCGCTGTGGTGGGTTGTGATGGGTGGAAAATTTGGCTGACTAAGGGGATTCTGTCATTTTTCAGGGGTATCTTGCAGCTCCTTTCTCACCATCGTTTCTTCTTCTGGTGGCAGCCAGAGGACCTTTTGACTGCCACAGGCAGAGCTGACCCAGACGCCTCTTTCCCACCCCCGTGCCTTGAATCTGTGCTATAATGGCATGGGTAGCCTAGCACTAAGAACCTTAGTCTATGCCACTGTGGCTGAATACTGGCCTCAATGAAGCCTTTGGCTCAAAGCCCGCCCCACTTTGTTAAGCCAAAGTGGTGAGATTTAAAATTAACCACAGGGTAATCTCCTGAGGAACAGTCCATTCGGATAGCCAGGATATGGGCATTGGGGGGGAAAAGAGAGAAAGAGAGAGAGGGAGGGATACATGTGGCTGTATTATGGAAGCAAAAGAGAAATGAAAACTGGTACAGAGGTGCTCTCTGTTTAGAATACAGTAATGTGCTTTCAGTGCAGCTGTTCACATTTGAAGATTTTTAATGGAGTGGGGGAAAAAATCAGAAGAGGGCTTTAAAAACAATCAATCAGGATATATATTCCTGCTTTGCTGTCTTTGTGTTCTACGAAGCTGTTCTCATCTGCAGAGACCAGTTTCAAAGCTGGATCTATATTTTGCCACAATTAGACTAAATGCCACAACCATGGAAGCTGAGGTCTGAACACCCCCCCCCCCCGATGGCAGGATTACTTGTTGCTATGTGCCAACAACTCCTTTCTGGCTCACGTTGACCATATGTATTATTCATTTCTGGAAAAAAACTATCTCTAACAGTCGTACTTGGATCTCACAAACGTAAAAGCTGTGGCTTCCTTTATTGAGTCAATACATTTTTTGATCTTACATCCTCGTTTATTACTGACTTTAGCTTTCTTTCTCTGTTACAGTCATTTTTTACTGAGGCTTCTCTTCTCATGATGTGTTGAAACCTCAGTTAAGTCATTTCAGCTTCTAGTGGGTGTTTGGGGTTGATTTTGTGTAGAATCCACTTATTTCCCTTTCTGGTGGTTCATGGTATCTGTAAAGCTTTTTTTTCCAATACCACAGTTCAATAGGACTAATTTATTCACTCTAAGATATCTTTAGTCTTCAGCTTTCATAACTATTCAAAGTTATTGGGAGTGCCATAATGTGGATGATCTTGGTCCTGCTCTCAAGTGACACATCCTTACACTTAATCTTTTCTAATTCCAAACTCCAGTTTTCTGATTTCTTGGTTTCAGTCTCATTATTAGTCATTGAGTCAAAATTTAGACCTTTTTTAAAGTTATGTAACCCTTCTGTAATCATTATTTTTGTCATCTTAATGATCAATTCTAATCTTGGTTTTGCACTTTCTTTTGTAACGTTTCTCATTAGTTGTTTCATGTCATTGCTATTTTATTTTCATTCTTCCCTTATATGAGTCAGGTCCAATTTTTTGTATAACATGTTTTGCATAAAGATCGAACAGATAGGGAGATTCTGTGCTAGCAAGGTGTCTGTTGTCTGACAACTTTGCCAATTGAAAACTGTTCTGTTTCTCCATATACTTTCCTAATTGTAACTGATTACTCAGAATAACGATTGCACATCAGGACAATCAAATATTGTGGCACACCTGTTACTTTGAGGACAATTCATAGCATTCCAAGATTCATATAGTCAAATACTTTACTGTTATCTATATAGCACTGAATGCTTTTCATCAGAACGTCTTTGGTGCTGTCCAAACCAATACTATTTGCAGTATGATCTCTAGTGTCTCTCCCTTTTCTAAATCCATCTTGAACATATAGCTAGTTTCTTACTCTGAATGCCATAAAAGTTTTTGTTCGAAAATCTTGAATATCACTATGCTTGCATGGCAGATTAAAATGGTTCTGTATCCATTGCAGTCTTTGGCATTTCCTTTCAGTGGAATGAGAATGTATATTGAAAGTTTCCATTCTGTGAGCTACTGTTTGGTTTTCTGCATTTGTTGGCATATTCTTGTTAATATTTTGATAGATTCCGTCTGTGAGGCTTGGAATAGTATTATGACAATTCCTTCCATTCCCTTTGGTCTTCCCCATTAGTTGATTGAATGGCTTCTGATGTGGAAGCCTCATCAACACCCCTTTGCTCATTTGCAGTTGTCTTATCATAGATACCTCTAGGTATAAATACAGTATTCAGAAGTGGTTTACTGTTATATTTTTCTGTGCATCACTAACAAGAGTTAGCTTGAGTGTCACTGCTGCTATCAGATATTTCTCT